AACCACAGTAGTTTTATGATCTGTGCAACGCCAATGTGGGTTTCAGGACAGTCAGATCCAAAATTTGACAACTCATTGCATTCATCACACGCGTAATCCAACTATTTACACATTTAACTACCGCATTCCATCCCGTTTCCACTCGTCCTCACCGAACACAGGTGAGAGTCAGACATATACTGCACAAAGCGACTATCACTATAAACTAATTCCGGCCCACCTCCTGGTGGGGCACACGGTAAGCAGCAACGTTCTCGACGGTCGAGCGGCTGCTGCTGCTGCTGCTATTTTTTATTGTTTTCATAATATCAGCCACTCTGCTCTACTGAGTACCCAGGTTAAGTCGACGGGTAAAACACGATGCTTGAGATTCTGTCCAAACATTCCTACTCAAGGATGTCAATAGGTTCTCACCTTGAAAGAGTCTTCATCCTGAAGGATTGCACGGTTCTTGCTCAAGTCAGCCAGATAGGCAGTAGGAGTCGGTTTGAGATCGGCTGGTTCCGGATCTAGCACCTGGGGCTTGAACCCTTTGGGCGGTTCCAGCTGCAAGGGATCCGTCGTACAATGAGCAGTGCTCTGACCCGCAGGGCAAGCTGGTGGTAAGAGAGCGAGGTAGTTGATTTACGACATAACTTCGGTTGGGTCATGCTGCAGACAAGTAGCAAATGAAGCTATGACATGCTATGTTTTACTGGATGGTAGCACAACTGCTGGAAAGTACAAGCTGAATATTCGGAGACTTCACCTTAGCGTAAGAACTACGTTTTAGCATTCCTGTTGCTTATTTCACCTAGGTATACGGGACATTACGTGTAGGAGTTAAGAACGGTTGAGTAAAACCAGAAGAGCTACCAGAACACCTGTTTCAGATCCGATAAGTATTAAAAATGGAAATAATACGAGATTTTTAACTGAACAGGTGCCCAATAATTTCGGAACTTACCCTCAGGCTTACCCTTTCTGCACGTATCGTATTCTTGTAGAAAGTGAGCTAGTGTATCCCAGCCACCGTCGACACGCACCATGGCGTGACCCCGAAGGAGCTAAAGGGAAAAATATCAAAAAGTGATCCCAGCAAAAACCAGTGGAATTACGATACCAACAGAAACTGTTAACATTATACCGGTGTAAACACTGGCAACGTAGTATAGCTATTTCGGGCTGTTGGCCCTCGTCAGATACGTGCAGCCAACTCTAGTGTAGCCGCTGAAATTGCCGCCACACCCGAGTTTCGAATCTGTCAGGGGCAGACGTCCTAACCATTGAGCCAACGAGTTCGATGACCAACCGATTTTTGATCGAAAGTATATAGTAATGGTTTGTGCACCAATCTATCTCTCAGGATGTGCCCATCCTGGGTTGATGCATTTTTGAGGATCGGGCCGACCGATTGTGTTCCGCAGAGCTACTAATAATTGATATGTTACTAGCTAAGTTCTTAGCATAATTGCACCATGTGCCCTATGTTCTATGACTGAGGATTGTTTATCGTCGGTTTGCTGCTGATTTAAATTCTCAAATGCATCTTAAAAGATTATTTGATAGAAAGAAGGTTGCAAAATTTGCTCAGGCGACTAGGATGCCAGTTATTAACCCCAGCAGCAAAAAGGCAATACGAGGCATCACCGATAAACTGAGAAAGAGGGTCCTATAAAATAGGGGATAAACTAAAATGGTCACTTACTCGAACAAATATTGGCTTGTTTTTGTCCGCCAAACGATAACGGCCGTTACTCAGACGGACCATGGAGAAGCGTGGATTACAAGTGCATTCAGCCATAATATTTTCCACCTGGAAGCATTGAGTAAACAGATGATTCGTTGCGTATCAGGCAGAATCGTAAACATAAAACTGGCGCACATTAAATCATTTTTTTAGATTATTACAAAAAATTCATAATTTTTCAATAATTTAGGTCTTCTAAACCCGCGTAAGACGACTTCATTGGTATTTCACAGAAGGCATCCTAAATGCGTGGCGTTAGTAACAGAAGCGTTCCTTACCGTCAAGTTTAATACAAACAGATGAATGGACAAAATAATCAACCGGTGTCATTGAGTGAGCTATATTTATCAAGAAAGGTTAATTATTATCTGTGAATGCTATTTTGTTTGGTTACCTTGAGATAGTCAGCGTATGTTTCCCATATCTTAAAGAAAATTGCATCCTAGAAGATATACGTCTTCTCAATGACGATAGTATTTCTTTCTAGTTTACTTAATTGTTTGCACGATAAAAAGAAGCAGATCTAGCATTCAGCCCTGGTCGTGAATTTAATCGACGTTCCCTCACACGTCTCATTTAGCCATGTAACTGAAACACTGGTTGCAACGGCTCCTTTTGAAAGTAGCCTGTATGGTATTTGCGGGATCCTTAGCCTAGCTTTACGAAGGCACTGTAAGAGTCTGTAACAATATTTATGAGGAGGACAACAAACGCCGGGCCGATTGATTACCACAATAAGAAATAACGAATGCTGAAATAATATTGATTAACATTAAGCATGACCCACTGTTGCAAACTTCTGTACTCTCGAGGTAGACACCATTTTTGAGATACAGTATCAGTGACTCACCAATATAGTACGTTTTACCTTTTGAAAGGTAAGCTTCTGGGTGGCAGGTGATAAATGGTAGGCCACCAGGCTGCGGTAGGCTTGGGTGTATACCCAGTACGCCTGCGTACTTCTGTAAGAATTGCTGCTCGACTATCAGGCCTGGTGGTTCAGTTCTGAAATCAGAGACTCGATATTTTATAAAGCTCTACTTCACTTCTTAGCCTATCCAGAAGTATTTTGTCCATGATCGCTGGTTTATTACATATGCCAATGCCCGTGGCATTCAGTCTGCTCGCGCATCACAATGAGATGTTTTAACCATCTGTAGATCTCGCAGTAGCTTTTAGGGCCAGCAGGATGAAGCCGGATATTAAATTTTAACCCCTATAAAAAGCAGTTTCACAATCTTATGAAATAATAAGAAAGACTTCAGGAAAATTCTGTATAAACAGTGTATAGCACTCCAAAAGCTACCCTTTCTTTGAGTACAAAATTTGAAGGACGCGTAATTTGCTATCAAACAAGTACAAAAAATAATTTTCTCGTGCATATTTTCCATATAATATATTTGAATTTATAAAGGTAAACAAAATCAATGATAAAAAGGCATGCTACTTAAGTAGTCAGTTTTTACAATAG